TAAACAATTCCTACATCAGAACTAACACAATGTTGAAATTGCTTATTTGCATACACTTAGATGATAGTACATGGAAGCAGAATGCAGGAAACAAAGCAACATTGCAATAAGGGCACTAGTAAGTTGTTTCCTTTCTCTGGCCTCTCTTTTAACAAATTTTACATAGTTTGAAGGGTTTCTGCTTTTCTCCTAACGATATGATTTCAGGTAGTTTAGAGGAATTTGAAACTCTCCTAGAGTAGCTACAGGTCTTGTTGTGGCATGCTTTTCAATGAAACCCTTGCTTAGCTCATTAAGGAATATCAATCTTTATTTCTTTCCCCCTGGGCTTTTGTGCAGATACTACGAATTGAAGGCACAAATGTCCATGGGATGGCAAAAAATTTTCATATAATATTTGTTGAATTGGTTTCTCACCAAGAAATAGTAATAAAGGTAGTTGTAAACCATGTCTATGCCTCTCATCTTCCTGTTATAATCAAGGCAGCTGTAGACTTTTCATCATTGCCTGTTCTTTTCTTGACAGTCTCAATCCTGTCATTGTGGTACTAACAAAGATCACATCCTTTTCATTCTCCCATATGAGGATCATTTGATTTCTTCTAAAGCTACTACCTGTTCCTCTTTCTTGAGCTTTGCAGGTTTCACTTTCTCTGGCACACTTCTCTTATTAAGATGCATTTTCCCCATACAATAAGTTTTTCTCTGGTAAAGCTTATCTTCCAGGGCTGGGTTGGTGTACCTTTTTCTAGAAGGGATTGATCATCTCCAAAATAATCCTTGATGTAATTAGGTTAATCTTGGTATTTGTCACAGTACTCGGTCATGGCTTCAATATAAACGACGAAGTTCCACACATAGCCTGAAACACTTTTGTACAGTTCAAACTTTTTATTGCAAAATGACTTTCATTTGGAAGGAATGCAGATTGTTCAGCCAAGAAGTGATTCATACACAGAAATAATTATTCTTCTGTGGTATAGACAGAGACTTAAAGCCTCAAAAACAGGCTTTATCTTGGAGAGCTGTCCACTTGGTGAGTTCATGTTAAAGATTTCATTATCCACAAAATGTCGAAACCTCAGCAGAAGATACCACTCTTCAGTCATTATATTTTTATAGAAAAGTATGGCAATGCTTTCATGTCTTGTAAAATACATCTTATTTTCAGGCTTCTGCACCATACCCTAAAGTCTAAGAAGGGTCCTTATTTAATTTACATCAGTGTCTTTCCATTTGTGAACACACACACAGTCTTCTTTTTTTTAATGTTGCTCTGTACTTCATGAAAAACTGCTGGACATTTCTGTTAGTTTCTTTACAATGTGATCAATGAATTCTTTTTCTTCATGTTTCTCATAGTTTTAATATTCGTCATTCCTACTGCATTATGTAAAAATGCCATGATGGACGGAGTTGTCGTATCTACTTAAAAGGTTGTAAGAAGTATTTTGCTTTAATAAAATTTAGCAAGAAGATAATTTTCTTTTGTATGATTAGCATTTTCTAGTTCTTTTACTTTTCTGTGATAAGAGGAGATTATTACAACACAGTAATATATTGATGATACTTTATGGTAAACTTAAATGCAAATTTAAAGCTTCCTATATTCTCATCTTAAAAGCATATCACATTTTAGTAAATTTTATTGTAGATGCTATAAAATTGATTCTACAGTAAAAAATTTAGTATTTCTTGTATTCACTTATAATTTTGCTATGTTTTTTAATTTAGTTGAGTGAATAGAATCTTATAGTTGCAAACTATTCACTTGTGTACAAATATCAAGTAATCATCTGAACACACTCATTTTAATTATGTTCATTATTTTTAAACATTCAATATTATTTATATCACAGAAGTTAAACAGACATTGGAAATCTCTACTCAATATTTCTGCTTTCTGGACTTTGTTTTTTAAAGCACACATACAGTACTAGGTATATGACAAATGAGCTGCAGATTGATAGAAAACATAAACGTAAAAAAAGAACTAATTCTACTAGTTTTGGTTTCATCTGTAATTCACAAATTCAGAAAGATTAGAAACTCAATAGCTCTTAATTTTAAGTATTTTCGGTAAAGCTCCTTGTATCTGTACATTCACATGATAGGTTAATTACTGGCTATTTTTGATTTTGGTATTTTGTGAGAAAATTGTTTTTATGCTTTTCACCAGTCAAATTATATTAAATAACAATCTCTAAGTTGAAGCATAGCTGTAATCATTTTTAAAAGTTTTTGTGCATTGTAAAGTGGTATCTGTATATTAATTATGGGTATTGAAAATTAACCATTAAAACAAGTTATTGTATTACTAAATTCCTCATAGAAGTAAAATGAACTTTATATACATCATATATAAAATGAAAACATTTAATAAATAAATACATTATTATTTGCACACATTGCTTGAATTATCATTATCAACTGTGAAAACAATATAATCATAATTATATTCTCAGTTAATAAAGTAACATAACTATAAGAATTTATGTTCAATTACATATTAACAATGATAAGATAATAAAAGACCGAATTACATATATATATATATGTATGTGTGTATGCACACACACACACACACACACACACA